AAATTTTGGTCAATGACATGAGACAAAGTATATGTGAACTGCTGTATGAAAAGTGAATTTACTCTGTAAATCTTCACCCAAATCCTAATAAAAAAAAAGAAGCTAACCATTAGCACCAAGGGACTGTTAAAATATTCAAAAGACAAGCAGAACAAAATTTAGAGGTTTAGAAGGCATGAGACAGTAAAGATTTCCAAACCAATATAGCTCAGCTTGGGGTCTAGGTATAATCAATCAAGTGATTACTACAGTTTGTAATTGAGGGATCTCTCAAATAGATGCCTTTCGAAAAGTTTCACGTGGCTGATTTTTCTTTCTTCCCATCTACAAAATTTAGGATTGAAATAGGGTGAGACAGGTGATCAGCTCCATCTTGGACAACAAAGGGGACGGGCCTTGGTTGAGATCCACAAAGGATCTAGATTGCACAAAATTTAGGTTAGAGCTTATTTACCTTGTGGGAGGCTCCCTTATGTTGAGCCACACGCTTGGTATTCTTGCAGCACTGTGTGGCAGACAGTTCTGCTACCCGCACCTGCCCATCACGGGCACACATGGCCAGGGTGGAATCACCACTGTTAGGAAGGAACTTGGCCTAGGGTGGTAAGAATGACAAAACAGGCACATAAAAGGAAGTGAAAAAATGAATTTTGAGAGGGAAAAATGTGGTGACCCTAACTCATCCTCCTTTTCTAATGCAACAGCTAGAAACTTAGCTCTCCCAATCTTATACAATTGGCTAAAATACATTTACTTCTGAGTTAAAGAAGAGAGAGAGAAAAAACATCCTCTGTGGTAAGAAAGCATTTCAGGTAGCTCTGGAAGGCTGAATTCGTAGTACATGTAAGAGTTCAAAACTCACTGCCATGGAGTCGATTCAACTCATAGTAACCCCTCTTTGGGTTTCCAAGGCAGTATCTCTATGGAAGTAGATTCCCCAATCTTCCTACCAAAGAGTGGCTGGTGGGTTTGAACCTCCAGCCTTCTGGTTAGCAGTCAAATGCCTTAGGCACTACGCCACCAGAGCTCCCATGTAAGAGTTCAGGTGAACTAGAACTGATCCAGTAGGGAAGAAAAGTATGAAAGAAAAGAGGAACTCTATCTTGATTTAGGAAGCAAAGATAAATTTGCTACCAAAAACAACAAAAGAGAAACTAGGGAGGATGGTGGGGAATAAAATATGCTTAGGGATAAAAGGCTAGTACAAACAAGATGTTTCTAACATGGTGGTTGAATAAAATCTCCAGGGAATAACAACATTAGCTAATGTTTATCAAATATTAATTAAGTAATTAAGTACCAGCCATGGTTCTAACTGTTTAGCCTCAATTATTACTTAATTCTCATAACCCTACGTACTATTAGCTCATGGTATTATAGATAGATAAACTGAAAACAAAGATTAAGACTTGGCCAAGATCGCAGAACTAGTGAGAGGCCAGGATTTGAACCCAGGCAGTCTGGCTCAAGAGCCTGTGTTTTTATACTATACTGTCCCCTAACAGAGTATATTTAATACCCTCCTGATGAGTTTCAAGAGCCCTGCCTATAATGAGGCTAACAGTCCTTATATTCAAGGAAACAAAAGGCTACTAAGAGACTTTCAGTGTATTCAACTCCTCTAAAAATCATTATGGGAGCCCACAAAGGGCCAGGAGTCCTGATGTCCAATTCCAACCTCAACTCAGTACCAGCTCCAACTCCAAGCAGCAGCTTGGACCTGTCTAACCCATGACTGATTTCTCAACTATTATTTTGCTCCCCTGCCTCACCTGGAAGACATTACTTTTATGGCCACTCTCAAAGTCCAGTACTGGCTGCCGCCGCACCCAGTCCCACACCACCACCTTCAGATCATCACTGCCACTGGCAAGCCAGGTACCACGCTGGTTAAAGTGCAAGGTGTTGACACAACCGGTATGGCCCTCAAGCCCATGCTGCAGGCGGAAACGCTGCACAAACACTCTTGCCCCACAGGCCTCATATACAAAGCGAGCACTTGAACCCAGCTCCCGCTCCCGAAGGGCAGGAAGGGCTTGCCAGCGAGGTCGGGGCAGAGCTGTTGTCTCTGAAGATACCCAGTCTTCCAGGGCCCGCTCATCATCTGATGAGTCCTGTTCATGGTTGGCCCGCTTGCGCTGTACACGGCGTCGAGGCTGCTCTTCTTCCTCCTCCTCCTCCTCCTCTTCTTCTTCCTCTGAGCCATCATGGACTCGGTTTTCATCATTGATGGAGTAATGGCCAGTGTCCTCCATGCTGTCAGAGTCTTTGTCTTCACCTGAGCTCTCTGTATCTGTGCCTCGACTTTCTGTGCTAGTGCGATTAGGGCCACCATCATCACCGGTCAAACTTAAGCTCAGGTCTGAGGCTTCCACTTCAATGCCTGAGGATGTCTCTCTCCCCTCCTCAGCTCCAGACATCTCCTCTGGACTGCTGGACAAGCTTCCTGGACGTCAGTGAGGAATGGGTAGGTGAGGAGGAAAAATAAAGAAACAGAATAGCAATCAGAAGGATTTCCCCTCCTCAGTCTAAGAAATCATCCCACCAAAGGACCTAGAAACCTACTTTGGTCAAAGTGTTTTGATTTCAAATACTGATAAAGAATATCTTCTGAGAGGAAAACTTGGAAGGAACAAGAAATTGAAAAGACTAAGATTAAAGCCACACAAAAAATAAACTTCAACACAACTGAAAAATTTCAGGACAATGTAAAGATTATGCTAAACTCTCAAGAAGTAAACAGTGACAAATTGTACTCAACTGTGCCTGACATAACTATGTTAGGCTCTGTGCTACTAGGTGGGAACTCATTTATCAAAACATGTAATTAAACTGAATATAAAGGAAAAGAACAGCCATTACACATAAAAGCAAGTTTAGCCATATTCTTAGGGAAAAATAGAAAAAAACTTATTAAAATTACCAACTTATGGATATGGAATTGAGACCTTTTCTACTTCAAGAAAGCATCACCACCCACCCTCCTCCTATATCCTAAATACCTTCACCATAAGGTCCATCTATAATACTCATCACTGGGGTTAAATTCACTAGGAATCAAGAATGAAATGGAAGAAAAAAAAAAAAAAGAATGAAATGGAAGGAAAAAGGGTGAACTGTCTTCATCTGAGTATCTGCTGGTAACGTATTTTGACTTATGTTTATTAGCTAATGATTTTACTATTGTTTGTAGTCACAAGACTCTTCAAGACAAAATTTTATCAGGAAGCATGCATAAAGTTGATAAAAAGCACAGTGGGTGCCTAAGAAGAAAAGTTCATTATACAGGACTGTCAAGTTGATAGTTATAAAATAACTGGGTCACTTCAAGCGATCTAATGCACTATAATTAAATCCTACACTCTCCTATCTAACAGTGAACTCATATTACAATGAACACTTGGGCAATGTTCTAGAGTTAAAGCGACCACAATTTCCTACCTAACGTAAGGTCAAGGTGTGAGGAAAGGAAGGGGAAAATGAGAGTTTTACTGTCTTCTTCTCTTCAGGAGACTACAAATTTCATCCTACCCAAAATAAAGACTGTTAGAAAAGGCAGGAGCTCTGGTAGCATAGTGGATAAGGCACTTGACTGCTAACCAGAAGGCTGGTGGTTCAAACCCGCCAACCACTCCTCGGAAGGAAGATGGGGCAATCTACTTCTGCAGTGATACTGCCTCGGAAACCCAAGGAGGGGTCGCTATGAGTCGGGTCCGACTCGACGGCACACAACAACAACAACAGAAAAGGCAGATCAGCTGTATATGTAACTTGGTATGAGCAATTCAACTCTAATACCACACTGATGTTTACGGTTCAGAGTTTGTGTACCTTGCGCAGTCATCTGAATTACAGTAGTGATTTCAGAAAATCTTTCAGCCAATGGAATCCCTTTTCAGGTAATTCTTATGCAAAAGTCAATACAGAAAACAGATTAAAAAAAAAAAAAAATACACAAGTTCAAGTAGTGACAGAAGGTTGGGAAGCATATAAAGGATTCTTTTCAAAAAGCACCTCAACTGACCAGGACAAGAACAGATACATGCACACCCAAGTTCATCACAGCACTATTTACAATAGCAAAAAGATGGAAACAAGCTAGGTGACCGTCAACAGAAGAATGGATAACCAAACTGTGGTACATATACATAATGGAATACTATGCAACCCTAAATAACAACATAGAATCTGCAAAACACCACATAATGTGGATGAACTTGGAGGACATTATGCTGAATGAAATAAGTCAATCACAGTAGGACAAATATTGTATTAGTCCACTATTGTAAAAAGTCAAGGAAAGGTCTATGTATGGAAGGAAATTTTCTTTGTTGGTTACGAGGGGTGGGAGGAGAGGGGAGGGAACACTGTTAGATAGGTAGACACAAGTATTGATTTGGGCGAAGAGAAGGGCAATGTACCAAATGTGAGTGATCAACATGGTGGCACTGAGGAAAAGGAAGACAGAGAGGTGTATGAGAGATACAGACAACAAAGATGAACCCTTTTGGACAAGGTTGTAGTCACTTCTTGGCCACAGCCAGCTACCCAGAAGGAGCAAGTAGTTGGACCTGTGGGCTTGGGACCACAGTTGCAGGGGACATCAAGCTCAACTGGCACAACATATAACACAAAAACATTGTTCCACATCCCACTTTGGCAAGTAGTGACCAGTATCTTAAAAGCTTGCAAGTGGTCATGTAGATGCAATAATGGGTCTCTCCTCATCCAGAGCAAAGAAAAATGAAGAAAACCAAAGACGCATGGAAACAATTAGTCTAAGCAACTGATACACCATGCAATCCTCTGCCTATACAACTATGAGGCCAGAAGAACTAGATGGTGCCTGGCTATCACTGTCATCCACTTGGAAGGGGATCTATGTAGGATATCCTGAATAGAGTGGGAGAACAATGTGGAACAAAACTCAAAATCATTAAAAAATAAATAAACAAAAGGGACCACGTTTGCTGGTCTGATAAAGCCTGATGGAATCACTGAGACTATGGTCCCCAGCTGCCCTTCAGGTCTGGAATTGAACCCATTCTCATGGCTTCCAGCCAACAAAAGACAGGCATATGACCTGAACACTTACATTAGGTAGATACACTCCTTGGAGAGATCAAACACGGAAAATAGAAGGGCTGTGTACGCACAGGGAGACAGCTTGGGGGGCAGGAGTGCATGGGAAGGAAGGACACGGAAGAGGAAGTGGGAGGGGAGCTGTTGCATTGTTGGAAATTGTAGTCAATGTCATAAGACAAAGTGTATGTGAGCTGCTGTATGGAAAGTGAATTTGTTGTGTAAACTTTCACTCAAATCACAATTTAAAAAAAAAAATCCCTTAAAAGGAAATACTGGATATCTAAAATTAATTAAATTTCTTAAACAGAACAAGTAAAACCAGTTGCCCTCAGGTTGATGCCAACTTAAGGTAACCCTATGTGTCCGTAGTGATAATACCTCGGCAACCCAAGGAGGAGTTGCTATGAGTCGGGATCTACTCGACGGCACATAACAACACGTGTCAGAGAAGAATTGTACTCTGTAGGGTTTAAAAAAAAAAAAAAAAAGATGACCCCTTGTACCCATACAGTACTGTGCTGTCAGTGAAGGCAAACACAGATATACGGGTGGACAGGCTGAATTACTGGCTATGTCTATGTTGTGGGGAGTGTGCCCAAGACCACGTATAGAGTTGGCAGACAATGTTTCTACAAGTTAGAATTCCCAGGTATATAGTAGAGCTGACAAGGGACAAGGTTGTAGTCATTTCTCGGCCACAGTCAGCTACCCAGAGGGACCAAACAGCTGGACCTGTAGGCTTGGGACCATAGTCTCAGGGGACATCAAGCTCAACTGGCATAACATACTACACAGAAATATTGTTCCACATCCTACTTTGGCAAATAGTGACTGGGATCTTAAAAGCTTGCAAGTGGTCATCTAGATGCAACAATGGGTCTCTCCTCATCCAGAGCAAAGAAGAATGAAGAAAACCCAAAACGCATGGAAGCAATTAGTCCAAATGACTGGTACACCATGCAATCCTCAGCCTATACAACTATGAGACCAGAAGAACTAGATGGTGCCCAGCTACCACTGTCAACCACTCAGAGGGGGATCTTTGTAGGAGATCCTAGATGGAGTGGGAGAACAATGTGGAACAAAACTCAAAAATCATTAAAAAAGGAAAATAAAAAAAAGGAACCAGGTTTGCTGGTCTGATAGAGCCTGATGGAACCACTGAGACTATGGCCCCCTGCTGCCCTTCAAGTCTGGAATTGAACCCACTCCTGTAGCTTACAGCCAAACAAAAGACAGGCATATGACCTGAACATTTACATTAGATAAATACACTCTTGGGAGAGATCAATCACGGACAACAGAAGGGCTGTGTATGCACAGGGAGACAGCTCAGGGGGCAGGAATGCATGGGAGGGAAGGACACAGGCAAGAGGTAACTATGGGGAAGAAGTGGGAGGGGAGCTGTTGCATTGTGGGAAATTGCAGTCAATGTCATGAGACAGTGTATGAGAGCTGTTGTATGGGAAGTGAATTTGTTCTGTAAACTTTCACCCAAATCAAAAATTTAAAAAAAAAAGCACCTCAACTAAGAGCACAGTAAGGAACTGACTGAGGTGGAGGCTGAAGAAAAAGGTAAAGAGTTCAGCAATTTGAGCCTAGGAACTACATCTGCTGATACTTCTTAGTGTATACTGAGGATGTTAAATAGTTATGGCTTTTAAAAATGCCAATTATGCTTGAGATTGAGAATGGTAGGAAGTGATAAAAGTAACACATAACAGGTCTATGAAGAAGGAAAAATAAAAGATCAAAACTCCTACTATTTATTATTAAGCAATGCTTATTAAACATTATGATTCACAAATTCAGATGACACTGACTATCATTAATTTAGAGGCATTCTTGGTGGTACAGTGCCTAAGGCATTTGACTGCTAACCAGAAGGTTGGCAGTTCAAACCCACCAGCTATTCCGCAGAAGGGAGATGGGGCAATCTACTTCCATAAAGGTTTACCACCTTGGAAACCCAATGGGGGCTGCTATGAGCCAAAGTGTATCATAAGCTCAACAAGAGGGTCCCAATAGTGAATGACCAAGGTTTAGCTCAGGGGCTGGCAATATTTTTTTCCTATAAAGGGCTATACAATAAAAATGTTAGGTTTTGCAGACCACATGATCTCTGTTACAACTACTTGACTCCACACTGTACCACAGAAGCAGCCACAAACATTATATCAATAAATGGGCATGGCTGTACTCAGAAAAACTCTACTTATAAAAACAGGCAATGAACCGGATTTGGGCTGCATGCAGACCACAGTTTGCTGATCCTTGAGTAGCTAATGGCCAACCTCCAAAATCAATAGTACACCTCAAATCTCTCTAGAACTCTGTGCCTTTTAACTAAGCCCAGTGAAAAATCTGAACCTCTCCTTGATAGATGAATAAATGGCAGTGGTAGAAATGAACAAAGGAGCAATAAAACAGTATATTTAAAATATGACTTATCCTACTCCTCAACATCATTGTTCTACATATCATATCAATTAGAATTTAGCCTATCATCTTGACCTTCAAGGTGCTGAGGAATGCTGGATTCTATGATGCCCAACTATATCCATTTGGAGAAGGTTTCTCTAGTTTAGAAGTTGGTTCAGAGTTCAAGCATTAGTTGAATGACCCAAGCAGTAGCTTTTACTCTACTACAATCTTGATATTCTGCCTTCAAATCTAACCAAGATCCAATGCCTTAACAATTGGCAGCACTTGGCCTAAAGGAAAAAAGACGAAAAAGGAAAGAAAATCCTAGTTCCAATTAGGTTGGTCAGGTTTTAACTTAATCTCTATCATCTCTATCGAACTATTATCTAAGATGGAAAGGGACCTCTCACTATAACGGGGGAGCTTCACCTTCAACAGCTCCCTTGTTCCTACCACTAATCAGATTTTATTTTCCTCTTCTTATTACAGTATCTCTAGGTTTGCCTATTCTGTCTACTTTACAGCCTTTCAGAATTCCAAGCCAAACCTGACCGCTCAGAAGCACAGCCCAGTACTGATCTTCTGAAAATAATCAAACAAAAACTGAGAGAGCAAAAGTACCAGATAGTCTAAGATTTCCTATATAGTTTCCTATGCACACCACACAGGAAAGGTTTACTCAGCAAAGGTTTTAATCACTCCACTAAAATCCATGTCTACACTGTATCTTTGAGGGAGAGGGAGAACCTCAGTTGATAACAAAAATAGCTTTGCCTTCATTCTGGTCCCTTACCATTAGCCAAGTCTGTTTTGCCATCTGTGCTGCTCCCTTTGCTGGACATCTTCAATAACGTTTGTAGCAGCCAGCCTGGATTTGGGAGAGGAAGAAAATGAAACAATTAGGAAATAACCCTGGGAAAGACATTATGAGGGACACAGAGAGATGTAACAATACACAGCCCTTGTCATTTTGTGTTCTTAATACTGAAAAGCACTCCAGGCAGTGATAGTTGTATTACCTGTGTTTAAATTAAATAAAGGATCATAATATTTGGAAGGTCAACCACCAAAGCTTTATCTTACTCACTGAGCAACTAAATGGCAGTCTGAAATAAAACCTGGAACAGCTACTACATATATCAAATGACAGGTACTGCAAGCAGAGAGTCTCAACTCAAAAAGGTCACTTCACACTATTCACAACAGCAAACAGATGGAAACAACCTAAGTATCCATAACTAAACCATGGTACATACACACAATGGAATAGTATGCAACACTAAAAAAAAAATCTGCAAAATACTGTATAACATGGATGAAATTGGAGGACATTAGGCTGAATGATGTAAGTTAATAAAAGGACAAACATTGTATTGTAAAGTTTATATACGGAAGGAAACTTTTTTGTTGGTTATCAGAGATGGGAGAGGAGAGGAGGGAAAATTTCCAGATAGGTAAGAGACAAGTACTGATTTGGGTGAAGGGAAAGCAATATATCAAATCGAGTGAACAACATAGTAACACTAAAGAAAAGGAAGACACAGAGAGGTGCACAAGAGGTATAGACAACAAAGATAAACACTTTTACATATATGATACTGTGTTATCTGTGATAAACATATATTTACGGATAAATAGACAGCTAGACAGGCTGAATGATCAGGTATGTCTAGGCAAAACAGAATATACCCATGACCATATATAAGGCTGGCAAATGATATTTCTACGTATGTATCTGTATATACTATAAGAATGTCCATATACATAGAACTAACATGGGGCAATCTACTTCCGTAGTGATACTGCCTTGGAAACCCAAGGAGGGGTCGCTATGAGTCAGGGCTGACTAGACAGCACATAACAACAACAACAACATGGGGCAAAGTTATGATAACTTCTTAGGTACAGTCAACTACCTTGAGGGAACAAGTTGTTAGACCTGTGCGCTTGGGGTCATGGTTGCAGGAAACATCAAGCCCCACTGGCATAACATACTACACAAAAAGATTGTTCTACATCCTACTTTGGTGAGTAGTGACTGGGGTCTTAAAAGCTTGCAGCAGCCATCTAGATGCAACAATGCACCTCTCTCATTTAAAGCAAAGAAGAATGAAGAAAACCAAAGATGGAGGGAAACAGTTAGTCTAAGAAACTAGAAAAACATGTGAACCTCAGCCTATATGACCATGAGACAGGAAGAACTAGATGGTGCCTGGCTACCACTGTCAACCACTCAGAAAGGGATCAGTGCAGGAAATTCTGGAGAAAGGTGGAGAATAACGTGGAACAAAACTCAAAATCATAAAAACCATCAGGCTGACTGGTCCAACAGAGCCTGGTAAAACCCCCAAGACCATGGTCCCTAGCTATCCTGAAGGCCTGGAATTGAACTCACTCCCATGGCTTCTAGCCAAACAACAGACAGGCATACACGATGAACATTTACACCAGGTAGATACACTCCTTTGAACTATCAATCACAGGAGAACAGAAGGGCAGTATTTGCACAGGGAGACAGCTCAAGGGACAGGAATACAAAGGATATAAGGACATGGGGAGGTGACTACAGAGAGATAGTAGGAAGAGAGCTGTTACATTGTGGGTTTGAAGTCAACGTCATAAAATAAAACGTGTATGAACTGCTGTACAGAAAATGCATCTGCTCTGTAAACTTCCACCCAAATCACAATTTAAAATAATAATATTAAAAAAAAAAAAAAAAAAAGCACTAGCTTCAGCATTACCCTCTAGGATCCAAGACTCTTCTTATTAATAGTAGTCATGTTGTTGTTGTTGTTATTTGCTGTCGAGTCGTCCCCGACTCATAGCGACCCCTCCTTGGGTTTCCGAGGCAGTATCACTACGGAAGTAGGATTGCCCAACCTTCCTTCCGAGGAGTGGCTGGTGGGTTTGAACCGCCAGCCTTCTGGTTAGCAGTCAAGTGCCTTAGGCACTATGCTACCAGAACTGGCAGAAGTTGTGTGATATATTTACACAATGAGTAGCTTATTTACAACCAAACACTTCATGGGATTTGGTTCCTTGATTTGGAGGTTTAGGGTCATGGTTTCATGTGACATCCCAGTTAACTGGCCTACTAACATGGTTTTTTTTGTTTGTGTGTTAATGTGTATAGTGCTTCTGGCCGATCTACTAGTTCACTGCATAGTGCCTAGGGTATTAAAAGTTTGCAAGCAGCCACCCAAGGCACAAAAATTGGCCTCTATTCACCTATCAACAGAGGAACATTGGTCAGGAATGTTGCTGCTGTTGTTTGGTGCCGTAAAGTCAGCTCTGACTCAAAGAGACCCTATGTACACAGAATGAAATACTGTCCAGTACTGCACCATCCTCCCAATCTTTGCTATACTTGAGGAGTCCATCATTGCAACCACTATGTCAATTCATCTTGAGGGTCTTCCCCTTTTTCACTGACCCTCTACTTTACCAAGCATCATACCCTTCTCCAGGGAATGGTGCCTACATAGTCTGACCATTCTTGCTCCCAAGTAGCATTCTGGCTGTGCTTCTTCTATGACAGACTTGTTCATTCTTTTGGAAGTCCATGGCATTTTCAGTATTCTTCACCAACACCATAATTCAAAGGCATCAACTCTTCCTTAGTCTTCCTTACACAATGTCTAGCTTTCACATGCCTATAAGGCAACTGAAAATACCATGGCTTGGGTTAGACGCACCTTAGTCTTCAAAGTGACACCTTTGCTCTTCAACACTTTAAAGAGGTCTTTTGCAGCAGTTCTGCCAGTGCAATTCTTGACTGCTGCTTCTATGGGTGTTGACTATGAATACAACTAAAATGAAATCCCTTACAACTCCAATCTTTTCTCCATTTATCATCATGTTGCTTATTGGTCCAGTTGTGAAGATTTTTGTTTCCTTTATGTTGAAGTATAATCCATACTGAAGACTGTAGTCTTTGATCTTCATCAGTAAATGCTTCAAGTTATCTTCACTTTCAGCAAGCAAGATTGTGTCACCTGCATATTGCAGGTTGTTAACGAATCTTCCTCCAATCCTGACGCCACATTTTTCTTCATATAATCCAGCTTCTCGGAATATCTGCTCAGCATACAGATTGAATATGTTTGGCAAAAGGATAGAACCCTGACATACACCCTTTCTAATTTTAAATATAGTACCCCCCCTTGCACTGTTTGAGTAACAGCCTCTTTGTCTATGTACAGGTTCCTCATGAAGCACAATTAAGTATACTGGAATTTTCATTCTTTGCAATGTTATCCATAATTTATGATCCACACAGTCAGGAACAGAAGGACATGGAATGTGTAGCTAACTGCTTTCATGAACAACTGCCTCCTTTGCCATGAGACCAGAAGAACTGGATAGTGCCTGGCTAGCATTACATTGACATTTTCATCAAAGATCCCATGAAACAATACTGATCAAAAGGGGGGAAATGCAGAACAGATTTTCAAATTCTTATGGGCTTTAGACTTTCTGGAGCCATGGAGGGTGGATAAATCCCTGAAAACACTGCCCTGATATAATCTTTAAACCTTAAACCAAAAATATTTCCTGAAGTCATCTTAAAACTGAATAGTTTAGCTTAACTAGTAGGGGGAAAGAAAAAAAAAAGGTCTCCCCTCAGCATTATGCTCTTTTAAGATGTATCTGGGATCAAGCTGACAACAGCAACTCAAAAGACTAAATAAGAATCAGGAAGCAGTGAGTTTATGTTAATGAGGAACTCAGAAAAGGAGGGTGAGCATGGCTGCACAGGATGAAGAAATGTAATCAATGTCCCTAAATCGTATTTTGGAAATTAGTGGTGTGTTTTGTTGTGTATATTCTCAACAATAACAAAATAAATAAAATCCACATGGGGGAAAAAAATACTAATCCTATGCAGCCAGAAACCCTGTAAAATAGGTGTCCTTCACAACATGAAGAATTGGGTTATTTTTAAATTATCATTTTACATATAAATCAACAGAGGTAGAAGAAATCAATCTCTTGGAGTAAGAGCCTGGGCTTTATGTTCCATTCAGATGCCTAGATCATTATTGGCAGAAATATTAATTAAGGATTGTAAGAGGCAAACAGAGCTGGAATTAAAACTCAGTTGCACACAATCCCTAAGAAACAACTTAAAAGCTTGTGGAGGTTCTTTGTTTCCTATTAGAACCAAAAGTAAGCTACCAAGTAGAAAAGGTAGGGGAGAAAATGACATTCTCAATTAAACCACCTCATCCCATTTCATAATATGGCAAACACTATTTCTCCTAATTCAACAAATTTTCATCAGTTGTCTTTTTGACAAAACCCTAGCTAGGAGTCAGGGTACCTAGTTTTTACCCTCTTATGTCACTGTAAAACATATTTTCTTCAGGTCCTCATTCCCACCTCTGTCAAATCCCAAACAGCAAAGAGTAATAGTATTCAGACCAGAATTGTGTAAAGCCCTTTCAGTGCCTTGGACAAAAGGCACTGGTGAAAGACAAAGTATGATTATGACCCCAGTCTTTGTACCCAGGCACACTGGCCTCTAATCTTTCAACAGCCCTTTCATTCTCATAACAATTATCCCAGAAGCAGCCCCATCCCTAATCTTATTCCCCACTCTCTCCTACAGAAATCCAAGTAGCTTTATAAAAAATATCCTCCACCAAGAGACAGCTGCCCAAAGTTTGCTCATAGTAGGCCAGGGCAGGGAGTAGAAATCTTGCCAGAGCAGGGCTGAGGGTGACTGTGAGTGAAAGATACCTGGAAGGCTGATAATTAAAGACAATGCCAACAAAAAAGAGACTTGTAGAGTCAGATGAAGAAAAACACTGAAGAGCTGTTTGCAGAACAGGCTGTTTTCCAACTGTTTCTTCCATGCATATA